ATCCCGACCCCGAACCCGATCTTGACTCAAGATCCGACCAAGACCCCAATCTTCGAAGAATTGATTTCCAGAAAGACCTAGACCCTGAATTTGCCTCAGATTCTGACCTAAATATAGACTCCAACCCAGACTCATATCTCGACTCTGGCTCAGATTCCGATCCAGATTCATACTCAACCTATATCCTATGCATCTTTCACTGCAAAGATTATGACTTCCCGACCAACAACCACGACACATGGACGAGATTGCGCATCTTGTGGTGATCTGAGACACACTTATGAGACTTCTTTCAAATTGCATGGCTACCTTGAATGGCGTGCTACTCTCAAAGATCAAACACAATGCGATACTGCTAGTAATGGTACTGGTTATGGATTCCATACTTCGGATAAGAGTGATTCCACATGCTAGATAATTGATTCCGGTGCAACTGATCATATGACGTTTGATCCTGATGATTTTCTGAATACTACCCAACCCAGACGAACTTGTATTGCTAACGCCAATGGAGTTACATATCATGTAACAGGGGCTGGCACTGTTACTCTCTCATCCACTCTCTCATTATTTAATACTTTACTTGTTCAATTTATATCCAATAAATTGATGTTTGTTGCTGAGATTATTGAACAATTAAATTGTTATGTACTAATTACCCGAATTTTTATTCGCTTTAGGATATTCACACTAAGGAAATTCTTGGTCGTGGTACTAAGCCATGTGGGCTCTATTATATGGATGACTTCAGTCCCAGCATGGCTAACAGTGGACGCATCCCTCTAATAGCAAACCAAAGCAAATTTGATTATGACACCGTCGATTAGGACATTCGTCTTTGAGTTGTACGAAGCATCTTCTGCTGGATTTATTCTCAGATTTCAAGTTCTCCGACTTCAAATGTGGCACATGTATTTTGGCCAAGAGTCATCGTGTGCCCTATCCGTTGAATACGAGCAAGTTTACTACTCTGTTTACATTAATTCACTCTGATGTCTGGAGACCCTCACGTTTACATTAATTTACTCTGATGCCGAAAGAGCCTGTCACTTGGAAGGGCTTGGGCTCACAACTGTTAGGGTCCGGCTATTTTATAGGCCTAATGTAGGCTTGCTCATTTCCTTGTTGTTGGCACTCCTTCTAACTGTTAGAGGGAGTGCCAACCAAAAGAGGTGTTTTATATTATATTAATAGGGATAATTAATTATAATTAAGGCAATTAATGACATAATTGAAAATAAATATGAAGGTAAATGACATGTATTGTAATTTAGTTAATAATACTAGGACAAATCTATCTTACATGACCACCTATTTTAAATTTGGATTTTAAGTAAAGATTTAAAAGTGGGTGGGGATCTCCTAGTTGTAAGGGCCTATATTGGAAGAACTTGAAAAAAAATACTCTAGTTTCTTCCAAGTCTTATGTTCTTTTTACTTCCAACTTTAGAAGTTGCATCCTTTAATCAAATTGATTGTCAAATTTGAATTTGAAGCATGCCTCGTGTAGCTTTGTGATTTTGCCTGATTTGGGGGAGAGGGGGTGGTGGTGGAAGGACACATGAAACTCTCTCATTATGATTTGCTTTGGAATTGGATGGTGCTTAAACGAAAACTCTGATGAATAGAGTTGTTTATTGATATAAAATATGGATGGTTACAATGATGGTGCTCAAAAAACTTTGACCAAGCCTCAAAGTTTCTTGATGATATAGGTACGTGAAAACCTAAGAAAACAATGACAATTTAACTAAGTTTGGTTTAAGAGGAAATTTAAATAGCATTTTGCTTTGATTTTTGGTTGAGACGTTGAGTGTCCTAAAACACGAAGTCTGGTCTTCTATTTATAGATGAACATTGTTGCCTTCAAAAGTTGTCGAGCCTTGCGGCCACAGCCCAACTTGTTGCGTAAGCTGCCTCTTGCCATCACGTCATGCCTCGATCATTGGTTTCGAGGTTATAGATTGGTTCCTAGGCTTCCAAACTAAGTTGCACAAGTTCCAAAAACTAGCTAAACGTACGCCACATCATCTCTTTTGCCTTCTGCATGGTGCACTGCTCAAGATTCCTCGCGTGATGTTGTTTTCCAAAAGTCAGTTCTTACAATTTTTACTCGATGAGGTACAAATTACTGAGCCTTGATTTTGATCGAGCTTCATCGTAAAATCTGGATGGGCCCAAAGTTTAGGTTGTTTGTTTGTCACTCATAGGCCAAGACCTCGGCCACAAGCTTTTGGATCATAAAGACAATTTTGGTTTGGCAGTTTGGACATTCTTTGCATATTAGGCCAACGCCGGCTACTAGGGCCGAGTCCATTGCGTTACGGATGTGGGTGTTTGGGCTCAATCCCTTAGTTTCTCTTCTAGGCCCAACACTATATTAATAGGCTTTTGCCACGTCATTTCTACTATGTGGACCCAAGGGGAAAAATTTCTAGTGTAAACACTAAGGGCCCGTTCGGTAATATTTTTAGACACCGTTTTTCGTTTTCGTTTTCATTTCCTGTTTTTCAGCAAATACACGTTCGGTGGATCATTTTCGTTTTCCCTCACAAAATGTTTTCTGAAAACAAATACAACTTTGTGAGCAAAAGTTGAAAAATGATAAAATGTGTTTTTTTCAATTTCAACGTTTTCGTTTTCTGAAGATATGAAAATTCTTTCTTTCTTTCTCCAATCAACTGAGGAGCACCACTATGGAAACCATCTCCTTCGACCCAGACCCATAGTCTTCAACAACCAATGCTAACCTTGAGTTCAGGCTGGTCTACACATTCCAATATGCCACGCCGGCGCCGGCGACTGATGCTGGAGAACCACCAAACAGTGAAATTAAGAAGAGAGAAGAGACATAAATGAATTTTTTTTTTTACTGAGAGTAAGGACAGATACAATACATCAAGGTGGGATCTAGGAAGGAAGAAGAAAAGAGAAAGCAGAGAAGAGGAAGAAAAAAAGAACAAAAAGAAACGGGTCTGGGGGAAGGAAGAAGAAAAGAGAGGAGAGGAGGAAGAAAGAAAGAAAAAAGGTGGTCTGGGAAGGAAGAAGAAAGAGAAAGAAGAAAAAGGAGAAAAAGGAGAAAAAATAAAAAATAAAAGTATATAAGATAATTTTACCCTTTAAAATTAGAATTTTGTATTTGTTATTGTTTATAATAATTTCAGCCTTTTAAAAATATCATATTTTTTTGGGATAAATTATTTATTTTTCATTGTTTATGTTACCAAACACGTTTTCATAGTTTTTGTTTTCTGAGATTGTATTCTAATTAAGCTATCAGATGCATTCTGAAATCCTGAAAATGCAAATTTGTTTTCTCATTTTGATTCTCTGAAAATATTCTCCGAAAACGTTACCAGACTGGCCTTAATATTTCATTCATTTTCTATTGTCTAGTTTTTCTTCCATGTACATATCATAGATGTTTGGTTTTCACTTGAGCATGTTATAAATCATTTTGGACTATTGATCAAGTTGATGCTTGCACAATGAAACAAATGGATCAAAGGCGTTGAGAGATGTTACGTATATTGATACAACACAATCTACGACATTAAAAGACTTAACACATGGATCAATATTTTTTTTCTTCTCCTTTTGACAGACCAACATGATAGATGCCATGAATGAGGAACATTTGAAGGAATACTTAATGAACATACCAGATGAGTTGAAGACAATGAAGATCCACAAGAGCAACAACTCTAAGCAAAGAGTAAATCACCTATGCTTTTTCTACATCCACAATTGTTTGCAGATCCAAAGGTAAACGCCTAAATGCTCAACCTCTAATGGCATTATGGCTTCGGTTTGGCAGTTCCACAAGGAAGAGGAACAACAGATATAAAAGCAATTGTTAGAATTTTAGGACATAGATAAATGAATTGTGTAATTGTTTGTTTGAATCATACTTGTCGTTTGGCTTGTTTATATGCTACATAGAATTGTGCATTTCATGAAAAGAATTTAATTGAAAACTACAAAACAAAGTCGGTATAGCTAAGCGTTCGTATTGTGAATGTAATTAGGCAACACATTTGTAGTGTTTGAAGTGAGGATAGACCCAACGACTAGCTAATGTTCTTGCTTATGAATCTCTTATATTTAATGAGAGTGTTAGTTGGATTGGCTCAGACTTTTGTATACCATATGTGTGTGAGTTTCCTCCTTTCCCTTCCTAACTTTGGCCAAAAGAAAAAAAATACCTTGTATAATCATCCTCAATGAATAAAGTATCAAGTTCTATACATAAAAAAATAAAAAGCAAAAACGAAAAACAAAATTGAAAGAGTTCTTGTTTCACCAAAAAATAGCTTCCCTTCAAAATTTGGAAAGGGTTAACTGTTGATTTACCCCCTAAATTTGTACTCTACTTTCAATTTCACCCTTGCCGTCTAAATATTCAACATTTCATCCAATTTTATGTTAAATAAAAAAAAAATTAAAAAAAAATTTGAAGAAAAAGAAAACAGACAAAAAAAAAATCTTGGGGACCCACAAACCTAGAACCTAGCGCCACTACCCTTCCCCCGTTTTCTTCTCCCCTATTCCCCAATGACCACCACCCACAAGCGACCCCCCACCCCCACCCACAAGACCTTGCCTCCTTCCCCCTTTTGTTTTTTTACACCCCCAACCTTGTTTTCTTCTCCCCCATGACCACCACCCGCGATAGACCCCTCCCCCTTTCTATTTTCTTCACCCCAGACCCATCCCCCCTTTTGCTGTTGCCGCCTTCCCTCTCTCTCTCTCTCTCTCTCTCTCTCTCTCTCTCTCTGTGTGTTTTTTAAATTATAACAAAGGAGTCGATGTATTATAACAAAGGGACTGAGAGACGAGCTCCATATTCAAAGCCATGGAGACGAAGCTCGAATCCGAGAGGATTTTGGTGGCATCGAGGACGACTTGGTTGGGGAGGGCAGATGAGTGAGATGTGGATAAGAGAGACAAAGCATAGAAGGGGAGAGATACGAGAGGAAGAGAGAGCAGAACAGAAGACGGAGGGGGAGGCAGAGGTTGAGTGGGTGAGCCCTCTTTTTATTAAAATGATTTTTTGTTTTCATTTAAGATTTCATATTATTTTATTTTATAGTTTTTAATTTTTTAAAATATATAAATGGACTAATTTGTCTTCATATTTAACGGCAAATGGATGAACCATTGAGGTTTAAGAGCATCTCCAGGAGACTCTCCAAATTTTATCCAAATTCTAATTAAAGTAACTAGAAAGCTAAAATAGCTAACCACTTAAAAGCTGGTTCCTCCAGCAGACTCTCTATTTTAGCTAACCTCGAATATTTTATTATTTCTTAAAATTTAAACATTTAAGCATACCTACTTTTCCAACGGCTAGTTTTTTTTTTCTTTCCAAAATGACATATTGTCTAACTATAAATAAGAACATATCTTCACTCATTTCCCTTCATCTACCAAAAACAAAAAACAAATTCCTTCTTCATTTCTCATTATTTTATTTGAATTCCATTTTCTCATTAGTTCTTACTATTATTTATGGCACGTTGTTCTATAGCAACTCGTTTTCTACGTAGTATTGTCTTCGACAACGATGTCCTTGATGACCAATATGAAGATGATTTGCTTGCACGTATAGAAGCAGCGAATCTAGCCAATGAAGGACGACCATCAAGACGTCGTGGTTCTATTGAAGGTCGTGTTGTAGAGAAGCACATTAATTTTATTTTTTTTCACAGAAGCACAATTTGCAAATCTAGAGAAAGATAGGCCCTAGCAAATTAATCACCTCATATTTAAACATGGAAGCGGCTGTTGTAGCAGGTTAAGGCCATTGTTTTGCTGCTCCCAGTTATGAACCTCCTCTGCTACGGCCTTCTCCTTCTCCTTGATCTATTCACAAATTGGGCATAGGAAAACAGAAACCATAAAAATAAAATTACAAAGAAGCAAAATAATTAAAGACATATGATGGCACAATTTGCAGAAATTGCAGCAGAATTTATCCAACAATTCAAGTACTTTTAAATACTTTCCCCTAAACCCTTGTAGAAATTGTATCATATACAAACCCAAATACTTTCCCCTAAACCCAAATTGTAGAAATTGCAGACGAACTTGTTAATTTGAAGCACAAACCCAAACCCTTCCAAGCAAAAACCTAGAAACCCATATCAAATTTCAAACCTAGAAACCCAGAAACCCATATACAAATTTCAAGTAATTAAAAGGGAATTTTCAAATCTCACCTGGAAACACCACTTCAGAGTTCAAAGAGGGTGGAGAAACAGAGAAAATAGAGATTGAGATGGAGACTTTGACAGAGAGAATAGAGATGGCAATGGAGACTTTGACAATTAAACTAACAGACATCAAGTATCAAGCGTGCAAATATTCTCACATGCATCTACATATATATTGGCTAATGTAAGACTTTTTAGCAAGAGAAAATATTTAACAATTAAAACAAGCAAGGGTTAGAACTTCTAAGTAAATGGCATAGGCGAGAAGATTACCCTGTCTTTTTCATTGACACCACTTTGAGACCTCCCTTCAATCTTGGCCATGTATCCACAGAATTTATTCACTGAGAGTTGAATTCCTGACCAACGGTGTAGAAGAGAATTGGAATTGCGTTCAGAAGTAAACTTTTTCTCTGCCATCCAATACTCCCGAATTCTATTCCAATAAGTAGAACTCCTTTGTTCGTTGCCATGCACTGGATCTAAGCTAACATTGAGCCATGCAGACACAAGAAGCATATCTTCTTCAACAACAAAATTCTTAGCTCTTTGTGGTTTCTTGGTGGTTGGTATAATTGGAACAATCACTTGAGGCATGTCATTGTCACCTTCATTTTGGTTTGTAGGCGTGCAACCAAATGTTGAAAATGGATCATTAAGGTCTACCTGACCGTTGAGGATGTTGGCATAATATGTATTATCTACAGAATCCATCTAACAATTTGCAGAGAAGCACATTAATTTTTTTTCTTTTCACAGAAGCACAATTTGCAAATCTAGAGAAAGATAGGCCCTAGCAAATAAATCACCTCATATTTAAACATGGAAGCGGCTGTTGTAGCAGGTTAAGGCCATTGTTTTGCTGCTCCCAGTTATGAACCTCCTCTGCTACGGCCTTCTCCTTCTCCTTGATCTATTCACAAATTGGGCATAGGAAAAAAAAAACCATAAAAATAAAATTACAAAGAAGCAAAATAATTAAAGACATATGATGGCACAATTTGCAGAAATTGCAGCAGAATTTATCCAACAATTCAAGTACTTTTAAATACTTTCCCCTAAACCCTTGTAGAAATTGTATCATATACAAACCCAAATACTTTCCCCTAAACCCAAATTGTAGAAATTGCAGACGAACTTGTTAATTTGAAGCACAAACCCAAACCCTTCCAAGCAAAAACCTAGAAACCCAGAAACCTATATACAAATTTCAAGTAATTAAAAGGGAATTTTCAAATCTCACCTGGAAACACCACTTCAGAGTTCAAAGAGCGTGGAGAAACAGAGAAAATAGAGAGTGAGATGGAGACTTTGACAGAGAGAATAGAGATGGCAATGGAGACTTTGACGGAGAGAATAGAGAGAAACGATGAAGTTTTGGGTTTGGCGAGCCTTGAATTTCTCTCTCCTCCTCTCTACATGTAGCGAGCCAAAATAGCGATAGCCAAAATGGCGAGAGAAGTAGCGAAGCTGCTGGAGGGTTGTTTTTCCTTCTTTTTCGCTAAAATAGCTAGGGATAAGGGAGTAGCGATGCTCCTTAAGAGAGGTTAGGGGTTCGATCCTTGCTAGCACTTTACCCCTTACGGGCCGTCTCGGTATGAGCGGGGATTAGTCTGGGTTGTGGTTAAGGCTTAAAGGTGCCATCCATATTTGGGGCCCATTCAGAACCACATCGTGGTTCAAACCAAAAAAAAAAAAAAAAAAAAAAAAAAAAAAAAAAAAACAAACATGGGCAAAGGGTCTGTGCATGCAAACCACGTGAGGCCCAAACCACCCCAAAGCTAGGCCGGCACGCCCATCATCTTCTTAACAAATTCAAATCCACCCTTCACTATTGAGTAGTGTTTTCTCTTAATTTTTGATTTGGGTTCTTCAGAAACACCTCAAACTCGCTCGCTGAATTTGGGTTCATCATTTCTGCTGAGAAATAGATAGAGCTCATCATTCTCTCCATGCCCAACTGTTGACTCTGTGCCAACCTCTCATCACCGGCAAAAGCAAAACGAGGCTACCACCATAGCCACGAATCACGCCGCTGCTGGTAATTTCATTCTCTAATTTTTCAAGAATTCATATGCTTGCTTAACTTGAAATGCTAGGTTTCAATTACACAAATTTGGGTTTTCTGATTTTTTCATTGATGGTTTTTTAGTACCCTTCCTGTTTTTTTTGCCTTTTTTCTTCTGCTTGCATCAACCCCTCTTCGTTTTTCTCACCAGTGAATACGAGTTGCCGTTTGAAGAAGAGATTTCAAAGCCATGCAAAGCACGAACTTTTTATCAATCCCATGCCTACCATCCGCTCCTACTCATCGTTAGCTTCACCCAATAGCTTACCCAGTTCGTTTTTAGCCTCAATCGCGACTTTGCTCAAAGCCTGTAAAACCCAATACCATCTACAACAAGTTCATGCGAAGATTATACACAAGGGTTTAGAGCAAGACTGCTTCCTCATAACCCAATTCATTTGCCTCTGCAACACTCTCTCTTCCCTCTCTTACTCCACCGCCGTCTTCGACAGCGTTCACAGTCCCAGTACCTTTCTCTGGAACACTTTGATAAAAGGGTACTGCGAAAGGTCGAGTTTTGCCGATACTGTTGACCTCTTTGTTCGGATGAAGAGAGAGGAGGGTGTTCCCGATAGGTATACGTACCCGTCTCTCGTTAAGGCCTGTGCGAGTGAGGCGAAGGTCTGGGAAGGCAGGGCAATACATGGGACTGCGGTGAGGTGTGGCTTTGATGGGGATGTGTTTGTGAGCACCAGTTTGATTGACTTGTATGGAAAATGTAGGGAGATTTTGTGCGCTCGCAAGGTGTTTGATGGAATGTCTGAGAGAAATGTAGTTTCTTGGACGGCTATGGTTGTTGGGTATGCGAGTGTTGGGGACTTGGATGAGGCCCACAGGCTGTTTGATCAGATGCCGCAGAGAAATGTGGTGTCTTGGAATGTGATAATTAGTGGGTTTGTGAAATTGGGTGATTTGACAAATGCTAGGAGGATCTTTGATCAGATGCCTGAGAAGAATGTGGTTTCTTTTACTACGATGATTGATGGATATGCTAAATACGGAGATATGGCGTCTGCAAGGTTTTTGTTTGACCAAGCCCCTAACAAAGATATTGTTGCGTGGTCGGCATTAATATCTGGGTATGCACAAAATGGTCAACCCAACGAGGCTGTGAAGATATTTCTTGACATGAGCACGAGGAATGTTAAGCCTGATGAGTTTATAATGGTGAGCTTGATGTCAGCTTGTTCCCAAGTGGGTTGCTTTCAGGTGGCTAAATGGGTTGATTCTTACGTGAGCCAGAGCTCAATTGATGTTCGTCAGGATCATGTTCACGCGGCTCTAATTGACATGAATGCAAAGTGTGGTAATATGGAAAGAGCAACAAGTTTGTTCGACAAGATGCCTAAACGTGACATGATTTCATATTGTTCTATGATACAAGGGTTGTCGGTTCATGGTCAAGGGGATCAAGCTGTTGCCCTCTTCAAGAAGATGTTAAATGAAGGTTTGGCTCCTGATGAGGTTGCTTTTACAGTCATCCTAACAGCCTGTAGCCGGTCAGGGCTCGTTGAGGAGGGTTGGCACTTCTTTGAATCAATGAGACATAAGTACCATTTGACTCCCTCCCCTGATCATTATGCATGTATGGTTGATCTTCTTAGCCGTTCAGGACGGTTAAATGCAGCTTATGACCTTATACAATCAATGCCTGTGGAGCCTCATGCTGGTGCTTGGGGTGCACTACTTGGAGCCTGTAAGCTAAATGGCAATATAGAGTTAGGGGAATTGGTTGCTAATCGACTTTTTGAGATTGAACCCCTAAATCCTGGTAATTATGTGCTATTGTCCAACATCTATGCGGCAGCGGACCGCTGGTTTGATGTTTCTGCTGTGAGGGACAAAATGGAAGAGCAGGGAATTAAAAAGATAAGAGGTCGCAGTTGGATTAGTTCAAAAGGCTGAGCTTCTTGCTAACTCCCTTGATGCAATGCCTGGAGTTTATGCAGATGGCAGACAATGTTCTCTGACGTCTACATTATGTAATTTAAGCATTTACCTTATTAATGCTCGTATAGAACTGTTATTTACTTTATGTACGTGCTTTAGTATTTCTGGATCCTAATCTATTAGTTTCTTCTCTACAGGAAGTGAACGATGTACTGATGGCTATAGATCATGTCATTGACTTGGGCCTTGCCAGTCCATCAAAACTTGCAGTTCTTGGTGGTTCTCATGGTGGATTTCTGACAACCCACTTGATTGGCCAGGTGTGGTAGTTTATCAAATAGCATGACTGTGTGCCTTTAATGTACAATGCACAGACTCGCAGACTATCTTCATGTGTATTCTATCTTGTTATTGTTGTGCATTCCAAGTCCTGGATACCACTAGTTGATGATTCAACTTTTGGACAGCTGCTTATTTGTGTACTGGTGGTTTGGGGCTTTCATGCTTAAAGTTTTCATTTGTATTTTTAAAGCGTATAACTTATGCAAGGTTGGTAGATGAATGCTCTAAAAGGTGGAAAGTACATGTACTTTTAGTTGTACTTAAGAATTCAATAATATTGTAACTGAAATTCTGCAGGCACAATATAAATTTGTTGCTGCAGCAGCTAGGAATCCTGTTTGTAACCTCACATTAATAGTGGGTACAACAGACATCCCTGATTGGCGCTATGCGGAGGTCTATGCATGTGAGGGTCAAAATAGCTTCACAGATGCACCTTCAGCTGAGCATCTGACTTTCTTCCAGAGCAAATCTCCTATTGCACATGTCTCGAAGGTATATACTTTGTTTAGGCTTTTTTTATGTTACGATCTTATGATCCTACTCTGGATTTTGAAGCTTTTTTTATGTCACGATATGATGATCCTACTGAGATTTCTGTAATATATAGATTTAACATTTAGTCAAGAAACGTGAAACATGCAATTAATTTCCTTTTCCAAAAACAGCTAATATTTAGAACGATATTATCTACTTCTAACTTTTTGATTTTTGTTGCTCTCTGCAGGTCAAAACACCCACCCTTTTTCTTTTGGGTGCTCAGGATCTTCGTGTTCCAGTTTCTACTGGGTTGCAAGTAAGCTAATATGTTCCCCTCTTAATGAACACTTTAGTCTATTTAAATATTTTACAAGAATAACAAGTGCTTGGATAATATTTCTTATTGGCTGCACTGCATCAGAAAGTGAATGAAACATAAAATACACACACCTTTGGAATCTATAAATTTATTTATTTATAATCTTTTTTCTTTTAAAGTGGTTTCCCTTGTCCCCCAAGTGGGTGGGAAGAATTTGATGCATACACGGTTACATAATTGTAATGATGTGAAATTAGAAAAGTGATCTGGATATTTATTGTTTGTAGTATGCTCGGGCATTGAAAGAGAAAGGAGTTCCTATCAAAGTCATTGTGTTTCCTAATGATACTCATGCAATTGAGAGGTAAAGTAAACACATGATCCAAACGTGCTTCTGCATTGTACTAGTCTCTCAGTGTCAGTAACTACTACAATCAAGCTCATAAAATTTCATACTTGGGTTTCAATTCCATCTGATAACAACTCCTGTTTGCAGGCTGCAATCGGACTTTGAGAGCTTTCTGAGTATTGGTGTGTGGTTCAAGAAGTATTTATCGTAAATGAACGGGCATTTCTCCCCTGCTTTTACTGCCTCAATTCGATTTCGAGAGCTTACTTAATATTGCTGTTTTTATGGGCAGTACAAATTTCTCATGCAATGCTGTGCATTAAAGTTACACTCAGTAGGTTTCTCAAAAATAAAATAGTTCTCTCAATAGTTTGGATCCATTTATAACCGTACTCTTGACGTTGAACTTGTTGAACCGTCCAAGCCTTTGTCCATCATGTATAATCTTCAGTCTTTTTTATCTTAGATGCAAATTCCAAATTTTTATCTTCAAAAAATCTCCTATATAACGCATCACAAAATATCCACACTCCGTATTTGTTGGTTGTTTAGGAGTTCCCTACACATAATTATTGATTAGTTGTCGGTCTTTTTGAATATTTGTAGTAGTGATTCTACTTGGAGAATTCGATGCCTTCGCCTTCCATGTCTTCATCAACCATCATGATGCTCAATAAGTCCTTCATGAACTAATTTCTTTTACTAGGGCTACGATGTAGCCTAGCTATGATTACTCAAATTACTTGATATTGTTAATTTTATTTATCTATACATGTTGAGTATTGGGATGAGACCGGAAGGAGATTCCTAATAAAAAGCTTCTAGTAATAAGTTCCATAAATTACGTAGCCGACTTGAAAGATTAGGTTATGGTTTGTGTAATCTTTATTGTTTTCCACAAATCTTAATAGGTTTTTAGCTATCTAAATTCATAACTAGGAATAGAGTGGGTTGATGGTAAGGAATACAACTAATATAACTCGGAAGAGAGTATTGGTGAGGTAAGGGAAAATGGTTATCAACATGTTAGGTAATTAGCATTAACAAGTTAGAAGGATTTGGGTGGGATTAGCTAGGTGAAATCGGTGCCCTAGTGTTGCATTCCTAAAAGGACACAAATTAATGTGCAAACAACCAATTAAAAATACCCGCAAGTGCACGAATCTAATGAAATATAGATTATGTAAGTACGGGGTCGATCCCACGAAGAACTTGTCGGCTTCCTATAAGTTCTAATTTGAGTACGTAAAGAACACTTATTTAACACACCACAAATGCACAAATGCAAATTGGAAACTAAAAAAGAGTAAAGAAATGTAAAAGAAATGAAACAACACAAGAAACCAAAGAAAAAAACAGAAACAGCACTTTCTATCACCCTTTTATCACCTATGAACAGTGCTGTAAACAATGAAAATGAACAGTGACGCCGGTCGTGAACAGTGATGACCGGTCGTTTTTGGACAGATTCATGTGCGACCGGTCGCCTGAACAGTAAAGACCGGTCTTTTTTGGCAGATTCGTTTCTCTGTTTTTCCAGTTTCGACCTCTGTCCAGTGTTTTGCATATAACTTTCCAACCGTTTGTCCAAATTTCACGTTCTTTATGCGGTTGGATTTAGCACAGAAAATGGAAGAACACAGCGCGGACCAAAAGTCCAAAACAATTACAGAAACAAATAAAATCAGTGACAAAGACACATAACGTGTCAAACACGCACACACACACATTTTGGGGGGGGGTTTGATTTGTTTCAAGTGACCTATTTCTATTGCATGAAAGTAAATGGACTTTGAATTTAAATGAGAAAGGCAGAGATGAAATATCAAAGAGTGGAATTAAAAAGTAACAAACACTAGGGTTTCGGAATCCACCCTAAACAATTCTACC